TATGGTTGCACTAAACTCGATTCCGTTCAGATTTTCCGTTTTCAAATTCAACTAAACTACTTATCAATATTTATATATAAGGAACCGAACATGTGAGAGACAGAGAGGTGTGGAAGAAGAAATTGAATCGGTCGAGAGTTTTGATGGGAAAAAAAATGTGGGCTAGTTTTTGCAACTTTGGTCTTTTTATTCCTGTTTTCTTTACTTTTTATATTTTTGTATTTTGGTCCTTATGTCTCTAATATATTACGAAACATGTCGGTTTGTTCTTTGGACAAGGAAACGTGTCGGTTTATATCGATCGAAAGAGAGAGAGACGAGTCGACGCGAAGAACCCTAATTGGAGAAGACGCAGAGGAAGATGATGAAATTCGTTTTTGCCAAGGTAATTACCAATAATCTCACATGCAAAATGGGAAAGAAGCCATGTATGTGCTGCTACATGAAACATGAAACCGCATATGCAAAAAAACAATCTATTGTTCAGATCGAAGACGTTCGATAATACATGGAGAGGATGGGTGTTTACAATAGGAGAGTCCATGGTGTTTTGTGGAACTATCAATTGCAGAGCATACATTATGCAATTTCTGAACTTGACCCCTCCTTGGTGTGAACCTAGAACCAATTCTTATCATATATGGCTCCTCTGGAGAAGTATTTTGAATTGTTGAGGCGGTTTTGAGGGGTTGAATCTTCCATCACTGTCAAAACAGATTCATTTACAATCGAAATGCAACATATCACTTCTTTACTGGCCTCTACTTCCACTCATCAGGCAGTGGTGTCATGAGTACATTCAGCATCTAGAAATATTTGCGATTAGGTTCTGCCTCGCTACAAGAAAGGATTTGGCGTAAAAGCGAGCCTCTATCCCATAATGTTGAGAAGGCTGGCATATGCATCCACCACCTACACCACATTTGTACTAGAACCAGAAGCACCTGCACAATGCCAACAAAGTGGCTCTAGCACAAACAAGGAACCCTGGTCTTGCGCATCATAGACGTGCTCAAGTAAAGTCCCCCTAGTGACAAAAAGAACACCAGCTTATTAGATTAAGACATGTAATCTTTTG